TCCCCATGGTCTCTAGTATGGTGATCTAACTTCAGTTGTTAGCGATCTATAGCCCATTTTTATATTGTGTTGTTCCCTCTAGTTAAAATGTTTTAGATTCAATTACTAGTTTTACATGTATATCTGTGATAATCTAGTTTTTTTACTGTCCTTCGTCGGCAGAATTTTATCATTTCACTTAAATTGTTGATAGATGTATAACTTGTTTTAGTCACGATATGGCTGAAATATTGCCGATGTGACTTAAAATCATAACTCACTCACTCACTCACTCACTCACTTGGGTCTATTTTTTTGACTCCCATTTAACTTTTTTGCCGCATATTAAATCCCTTAAAGCTAAATGCCTGAAGCCACTCGATTTGTTGAAAGTCGTTTCCAACTCAAAGTGGGGAGGGGATCAAGCTACCCTCCTCCACCTATATCGATCATTGGTCCGCTCGAAACTTGATTATGGCTCCATTGTATATGGTGGAGCCTGCAAAAGCAACCTAAAACTACTTGATTCTGTCCACCACCAAGGCCTAAGACTTTGTCTTGGGTCCTTTAGAACCTCTCCCATTGATAGTCTCTCTGTTGAAGCAAATGAGCCTTCTCTTACACAACGCCGTATAAAATTATCTTTACAATACATTACTTAACTATATTCTAGCGAGTCTAACCCTGCATTTGACTGTGTCTTTAATCCCCTCTATGAGGATTTATACAACAAAAAAACCTTCTCTTGTTCCGCCTCTTGGGCACAGTATTAAGCCGTTATTTCTGCTGCCGGCATTGAGCTGGAAAATATAGCTCCTTCCCGTCTTCTTTCTTCTTCTCCTTGGCAACTGGTGAGACCACAAGTTGACCTAACTCTGACAGAGTTTAAGAAATCTGTAACTAATGACTTACAATATAAACAAGAATATAATCAATTAAAAAATAATTATAATACTCACAAATCCTTATTCACAGATGGGTCCAAGGATGGTGGCGCGGTGGCTTGTGCCACTGTCATTGGATCCAGAACAATCTCCTCTCGATTACCAGATAACAGCTCTATTTTACAGCAGAAGCAAACGCCATATTAACAGCCTTAAAATATATGAAAAATCACCGTAAATATCAACAATATATCATCTTTTCTGACTCACTTTCTTGCCTTCAGGCTATTAAAAATATCTCTTGTAAACATCCACTTTTATTAGAAATTATTGAATTATATAATGAGCTTGCTACTGGCCAATGCGACATCGTCTTTTGTTGGTTACCCAGCAACGTGGGCATTTCTGGGAACACATTGGCTGATCTTGCTGCTAAGGCAGCACTCAACAAATCTGTGACACCACTTCTTATCCCATACTCTGATTATAAAGCCAGCATTAGAACCTACATCCGCGATCTAATGCAGAAGAAGTGGGACACCCAATTAGGTATTAATAAATTACATGCAATAAAACCCTACATTGGTTACACCTACTTGGGTCAGTCCAGATTTGAAGAGGTCATTATGCGACGATGTCGCATTGGCCACACTAGATATACTCATGAATATTTATTGAAAGGCGAAGATCCTCCGTTTTGCATCCCTTGTGATGAAAGAATCACAGTCAAGCATGTCCTGCTTGACTGCATTGAATATTCCATCACAAGGGATAACTATATCAAAGTAAACACTCTGAAGGATCTTTTTAATAATGGCACCCATGAAGGGCCACCTCCTCGTGGTGGGTGCTGGGTCACGCTAAGCGCCCTTCACCCCCGTTGTGGACCCGGGGGGATATTAGGTCCACCAACCTGTTTGCCGTGGGTTGCGCCCCTGTGTCGGTGGAGGACGGGATTCTGGTGGTTGAGGGCACTGGGTCCAGGAACAGTGTTCCTTTGCCCAACACACCACTTCGCCCCTTACTTCACCTAGACGGGTGGTTGAATGGGCCCGGTTCAACCAATCGGCTGGTCACGTCATGCCCTGTGCATTGTATTTGAAATTGCACAAATTTGATTGCTATTAATAATCCTGATAGGGGCATTGGTCAACTTACTTCACTAAATTTATATTGATTTACAAATTCAACAAATGTTAAATTTGCCTAGAGTCGTATGCCCAGAAGGCGGTGGCTCATGGGCCAATCTAGTGGATTTATTATTTATAATTTTTCTGCTGGAGTATCTCATCTGAGTATCCTTGGTGCTGCAAGTCGGAGGCCCACTTGCTTTTAGCATTGTCCTTGTGATACTCCGTGGTGGGTGGGGAGCTCAGATGATGAACCATACTAAACTTACTATGGCTTACACAATCCCCCTTAAAAGAAACAAACGTCAGCTTGACAATGATGATGATGATGAACCACGACCGTCCACGTCAATCGAATATTGGCCACGATTTCTCGTGATCGAGACACTTGACAAATCAGCTATAAAATTAAACCCTTTTGCAGTATCAAAAGGTATACATGGTATCGCAGGTGAGGTAAAGAATATCAAAAGATTGCGTTCAGGATCCCTTCTTATAGAATGTAACAGGAAACAACAATCAGCCAACCTGTTGTCAACCGAGTTGTTTGTTGGCGTTCCGGTATCAGTTTCTCCACACAGAACTCTGAACACGAGCAAAGGGATTGTCAGAGATCGAGATCGATTGTTTGCTGATATGACTGAACTCGACATCGTATCAGAAATGAAAGAACAAGGAGTGCTTTTCGTGAAGAGATTTACAACCCAAATAAACTCTGAAACTCTTCCATTTTTCTTCTCCAACCATTCCAAAATCAGTTAGAGCAGGATATTGCAATATCAGTGTTGATACCTTTATTCCGAATCCACTGAGATGTTTCAAATGCCAGAAGTACGGACATGGTGCAAATAACTGTACTAACTCGGTCACATGCGCTCATTGCAGTGAGAAAACTCATGTTACTGAGGATTGCAATAATACCATTAAGAAATGCGTCAACTGCTCTGGGACACATTCTTCTTTCTCTAAACAATGTCCAATGTCCAATCTGGAAGCAACAAATGGAGATCAATAAAATTAAATTTACACAGAATATCAGTTTTGCTGATGCTAAGAAACTTCTTGTTCCCACACCGGAACCAAATACATCTTATGCCTCAATTACGAGAGCGCCCTCTGCCGTCAGTCACAAAGTCACTGTATCCACTTCATCAACACTCTGCCAAACTGATCTGACATGGGTGGATACAGAAAAACCTGAAATATACTCACCCAACCAGTCCACTCAGACAGCTGAATCAATTCCAAAAACACTTCAAGTTCAGTCACGGTCATCTTCTCAAGAACAATCTCGTCATCATCATTACAGCCCATACCAAAACATCAATCACAAAATAATGGGAAACATATTACCAAGCATAAAATCAAAGCCAGAAATGATTTGCAAAAATGCCAAAGTAGCAGAGCCTCCAAAGGTTCAAATGACCAAATCCAAATTTTTAACAAGTTTGGATCCTTAGAGGACATGGATGTGTCCGAAAACATCCAAATGCGGGCACATAGCTTGTCGCCCTCAAGGAAAGCAAGGGGTAGATCCCCAATAAACCCTCCGAAGAAATAGTTTCTTCACATATTATTCAGTGGAATTGCAGAGGCCTAAACACTAATCTTAATGAACTGCACCTGTTAGTCCAAGACTTTAAACCTTCAGCTTTCTGCTTGCAAGAAACGTATCTAAAGCAGACAAATACTTTTGACTTCCGTCACTATAATGCATATCATTGTTTTTCTCCACCTGGTGCTAGAGCCACTGGAGGATCATCAAGGAATGATGTTATTCATAGCCCTGTTACACTAAAAACTAATCTTCAAGCAGTTGCAGTGCGAATTACTTTGAACGTTACACTTACTCTGTGTTCATTGTACATTCCACCTTCATCAACTCTTCAGCAGGCTGATCTACAAACTCTCTACGATCAACTACCCAAGCCTTGTATATTCATGGGTGATTTGAATGGGCACAACCCTCTCTGGGGTGGTGTGGCCACAAACGCAAAAGGTCAAGTTTTGGAGGATTTTATTTCGAATAATAATTTATGTATATATAATGATGGTACAAATACATATTTACATCCTGGCACAGGATCATATTCAGCTCTTGATATGTCAATAACTGACTCCAACTTACTGAATGAATTTGAATGGTCAGTTCACGATGATCTCTGTGGAAGTGATCATTTTCCTACTCTACTAAAACCTGTAACCCCATCTGATGTTCCTCCATCATCAAGATGGAATTTTAGAAAGGCTAACTGGCCTCTTTATGAACTGCTGTGTGTTACGAAACTTAAACCTGAATTTTTTGTTGATGTTCCTGATGCTACTGATGCTATCAAATGCTTTTCTGATGAACTGAACATCATAGCTGATGAATGTATACCAAAGTCCTCTGCAATTCCACATATTCGAAAACCTTGGTTCAACGATGAATGCAAACAAGCTAGAAAGGCAAGGAAAAAAGCAGAACATTATTTCCGTCGCCACCCTATGGTGCATAATTTAAATAAATTTAAAATTTAAAATGCTAAAGCGCGCCGTACCTTTAAACAGAATAAACGCCAATCGTGGCAAAATTATGTATCCAAAATAAATTCTCGAACTCCCATGTCTAAAGTGTGGAACATGATACAGAAAATTAAAGGTAAAGGTACCAAATCCATCATCTTAAACATGGAGAACAATTACTTACTGATAAATCAGATATTGCGAACAAACTGGGGGAAACTCTTGCTAAACATTCTTCCTCTTCTAATTATGTACCTAAATTCCAACAATATCAAAAACAACAAGAAAAGACAACCATTAATTTCAGTGAGTGAGTGAGTTAAGATTTAAAGTCACATCGGCAATATTTCAGCCATATCGTGACTAAAACTAGTTTTAGATTTGTAATACATACATATAATATATTAAACCCTGTCAACGAAGGACAGTAAAACCACTAGATTATCACAGATTGAGTTAAAACTAGCTAACATATATCTTTAAAAGTAGAAAATTATTTCTGGACAATACAATGTAAAATTGGGCTATAGATCGCCAACAACTGAAGGTAGATCACCATACTAGGGACCATGGGGACTTACAGTACCTTTGCTACCTGCATGGATCCTAGCTGGATTTACAACATCCCTTCAGCCATTGGCGTTTATACCGAGAATTAGCCATACATTAAAATGACAAAAATACTACGATTAAAACACCTGGTATACTTAAATTTACTTGAAATGTTTTGGGACTTACGTACCCTCTCAGGAGGACAATAATTTTACGCTACTTCAACCCCCCTTGAGGGTACAGCCACTAACAATCTAAGTTACTAATCAAATCTACCAAAAATTAAAATACAGATATGTACAGAACATATTATTCAAAATTCATTCATTAAGTCAATTTCTTTTAAAAAGCCAATAATTAAATGAGAATTAACAGTGTTAAAAAGATCCTTAACTGTTTTCACATTGAAGTATTTATCCCTTATGATGGAGAATTCAATACAGTCAAGCAGGACATGCTTGACCGTGGTTCTCTCATCACAAGGGATACAAAACGGAGGATCCTCACCTTTTAATAGGTACTCATGAGTATATCTTGTGTGGCCAATACGACAACGTCGTATAATGACCTCTTCAAATCTGGACTGACAACCCAAGTAAGTGTAACCAATATAGGGTTTTATTTCATGTAATTTATTGATACCTACTTGGGTGTCCCACTTCCTTTGCATCAGATCACGGATATAAGATCTTATAGCAGCTTTGTAATCAGAGTATGGGAGCAAAAGTGGTGTCACAGATTTGTTGAGTGCTGCCTGGCAGCAATATCAGCCATTGTGTTCCCAGAAATGCCAACGTGGCTGGGTAACCAACAAAAGACGATGTCGCATTGGCCAGTAGCAAGCTCATTATACAATTCAATAATTTCTAATAAAAGTGGATGTTTGCAAGAAAGATTTTGAATAGCCTGGAGACACGAAAGAGAATCAGAAAAGAAGATGTATTGTTTATATTTACGGTGTTTATTAATATATTTAAGAGCGGTTAAGATGGCGTTAGCTTCTGCTGTGAAAATAGAGCCGTTATTTGGTAATCGAGAAGAGATTGTTCTGGATCCAATGACAGTGGCACATGCCACTGCGCCACCGTCCTTGGACCCATCTGTAAATAAGGATTTATATGTATTATATTTACTTTTTAATTGATTATATTCTTGTTTATACTGTAATTCGTTAGTTTCTGATTTTTTAAACTTTGTCAGGGTTAGGTCAACTTCAGGCCTCACCAGTTGCCAAGGAGGAGAAGAAAGAAGACGGAAGGAGATATATTTTCCAGCTCAATGCCGGCAGCAGAAAGAAAGGGCTTAATTCTTAAACCAAGAGGCGGAACAAGAGAAGGCTTTTTGTTGTACAACTCCTCATAAGAAGGATTGAAAACACATTTAAATGCAGGATTAGACTCATTAGAATAGAGTTTTGTGATATACTGTAAAGATAGTTTGATACGACGTTGGGTAAGGGATGGCTCATCAGCCTCAACAGAGAGACTATGAATAGGAGAGGTTCTAAAAAGACCCAAGACAAAGTCTTAGGCCTTGGTGGTGACAGAATCAAGTAGTTTTAGGTTGCTTTTGCAGGCTCCACCATATACGATGGAGCCATAATCAAGTTTCGAGCGGACCAATGATCGATATAGGTGGAGGAGGGTAGCTTGATCCCCTCCCCACTTTGAATTAGACACGACTTTCAACAAGTCAAGTGCCTTCAGGCATTTATTCTTTAGGTATTTAATATGTGGTAAGAAAGTCAGATGAGAGTCAAAAATAAGTCCTAAAAACTTGGCCTCCTTGACAACTTTGATGGGTGTGCCATTTAAAAATAGGTCTGGGTCTTTGTGCGGTTTATATTTTCTACAGAAATGTATACAATTGGTTTTGGATTGAGAAAATTTAAAACCGTTTTCAAGACACCATTTATGAATTTTATTGAGACACAACTGCAATTGCCGTTCAATAGTATGCATATTTTTTACCACGACAAGAAATGTTAAAATCATCCACGAAAAGTGATCCATCGACTGAATCCTTTAAAACCCTTTCAAGGCTGTTTATTTTAATACTAAATAATGTTACAGACAAAATACTGCCTTGTGGGACACCCTGATCCTGATTATAATGATCAGACAGGGTTGAGCCCACTCGGACTTGAAATTGCCTGTCAGTTAAAAACTGAGATATAAAATGAGGTAAACGACCTCTCAAACCAAAGTCATGTAAATCGTTTAAAATACCATGTTTCCATGTGGTATCGTAAGCTTTTTCCAGGTCGAAAAAGATTGATACAGCATGTTGGTTATTTACAATGGAACTTTTAACAAATGATTCCAAGCGAACCAAATGGTCAATAGTACTCCGATTCTTTCGAAAACCACACTGAATGTTCGTGAAAAGATTATTGGTTTCTAAAAAACCATACCAGTCGATTATTGACCATGCGTTCCATGGTTTTACAAACGCAGCTTGTCAATGAAATTGGTCTATAGTTAGATGGATCAGTATGATCCCGGCCAGGCTTAGGTATAGGGACAACAATGGCATTACGCCATGAAGGAGGAAAATGTCCAGTTGTCCAAATAGTATCAAAAATACTTAAAAGTGTTTCAAGACATGAGTTGGGTAAATGTTTTAAAAGCTGATAGTGGATATTATCAGCTCCTGTTGCTGTATCATGTGCTTGTACTAAGGCAGTGTTAAGCTCATGTAGTGAAAACACTTCATTGTAGTCTTCACCATTGTCAGAATTAAAATTAATTTTCATTTTTTCTTGTTGAGTTTTATATTTCTGAAATTGAGGATTATAATTTGATGAAGAAGAATGTGCAGCTAAAGTTTCACCCAACCTATTGGCAATGTCAGATTTATTAGTTATTATATTGGGTCCATCCTTCAGGTGATGAACACTAGATTTGGTACCTTTACCCTTGATTCTCTGTATCATGTTCCACACCTTCGTCATAGGTGTACGGGAATTTATCTTTGATACAAAGTTCTTCCAAGACTGTCGCCTATGTTGCTTAAAAGTACGCCGAGCCTTGGCACTATTTATTTTAACATCATTTAAATTGTGAACAGTAGGATGACGGCGAAAATATTTCTCTGCCTTCTTCCTACACTTCCTGGCCTTTTGTAATCATCAGTAAACCATGGTTTACGAATGTGTGGTGTCGGAGAGGACTTAGGAATAGTTTCATCAGCTATTTGATTCAGTTTATCCGAGAATAACTGAATAGGATCCATATCATTGACAAAATAGACAGATTTTAATTCGTCAGTACAGAGTGTCTTAAATAAAGGCCAGTTAGCCTTATTAAAATTCCACCTCGTTGCAGGCGGCTCATCAGTCGGATTTATTGCAGAGAGAATTGTGGGGAAATGGTCGCTTCCACAAAGATCATCATGGACTGACCATTCAAACTCATTATAAATATTTGGATCTGAGAGCGATAAATCAAGTTCAGAATATGTTCCCGTACCGGGATGTAAATATGTGGCTGATCCATTATTAAATATGCATAAATTATTATCTCCAATGAAGTCCTCAAGGATTTTTCCCTAGTATTGGCATTAATACTTCCCCATAGAGGGTTATGCCCATTTAGATCACCCATGATGATACAGGGTCTAGGGAGCTGGTCAAAAAGATTCTGAAGATCGGGTTGCTGAAGGGGAGAAGATGGAGAAATATACAAGGAGCAAAGAGTAAAAGTTATGTAAAGACAAACGAACTGCCACAGCTTGAAGTTTGCATTTTAGAGGACAGGGCTATGGATGACACCCTGCCTCACCAAAATAGAAGCGCCACCGGTAGCTTTATTTCCTGGAGGTGAAAACGAATGATATGAATGGTACTGGCGAATATCAAGTTTATCTTCATCTTTTAGATATGTTTCCTGTAAACTAAAAGCCGATGGTTTGAAATCTTGTGATAACAATTGTAGATCAGAAAAATTGTTCCTAAGTCCTCTACAATTCCATTGTATTAAATTAATAGAACTGCTCATGGGGGTTCGATTGGAGATCGAGAGCTCGGAGAAGTGCCACTCCTACAAGCTGTTTGTGAAGGAGTGATCTCCATGTCAAGTGATTCAAACAAATTGTGAACCACCACAGGTGTTGCTGAAGGGGAAGATTCTTCCAAATGTTGAAGAGCCTTCGTTTTTCGTCTCATTTTTTTCTTTTCTTTAGCAGTAAGGTTAACATCATTCTGTGTAATTGCTGGTGAGGATACGGTGTCAGTTCTTGGCTCTATACTTGATTTTTCAGTTTGAGAAGCTGAAGAGATGTTACCCGGTAATGATTGTTTTCTAATTTCCTCAAATATTTGCTGCTTGTCATTTACCCAAGATATATCCGTTTGGCAGGATGTGGAAACCTTTACAGGTTTGGTAACCAATACTTGAGTAGGAGAAGAAACTGCAGCTGAATAAGAAAGAGAGGTATTCAGGTTTGATTGAACTAATTTCTTTGCATCAGAATACGACATGTGTTTTGTGCATTTGAGTTTCATTATTTTGGACTCAATTTCGAAAGATGGGCAAGATTTTGATGATGCCATATGGTCACCATTGCAGTTGGCACACTTCATGTCATTTGTGCAGTCAGTGCTCGCATGAGCCCAACTGCAACGAGAACATTTTGTTTTGCCATGACAGGACTTAGCACCATGTCCAAATTTTTGACACTGAAAACAACGTAGTGGATTTGGTACATATACATCCACTCCGATGTTGCAGTAGCCAGCTTTAATTGATTTTGGAAGAGTCGTCATTCCAAAAGTAAACAGATACGTATTTGTGTTCACAGTGCCTGAATCTTGTTTCCTTGTAAAGCGTTTGACAGCAGTGACCCCTTGATCTTTTAGTTCATCTGCAATCTCTTCTTCTGACATATCAGACAAAGAGCGTGACCAATCTCTGACGATGCCTCTACAGGAGTTCAATGTCCTGTGTGCTGAAACAACAACCTGTGTGTTAACAAACTGCCGTAGACCCAGCAGATTTACAGATTGTTGCCTCCGAACACATTCCACTAAAAGTGAACCACATCTGAGGCGAGTGACATTTTTAACCTCTCCGCAGACACCTTGGATGCCTTTGGAGATGGCAAAAGGGTTAAGTTTGAAAGGACTTCCGTCCGCAGCTGCAATAACCAAGTATTGTGGCCAGAAATCACCAGACTGAGATACTTCTTCATCCTCAGAAGAAGAAAGATGTCTTCTTTTATTTCCTTTAACTGAACCAGAGAGGGAGTTGTGAGCCATGGTATAGTGATGTGTTTCATCAACCCTGCTCCCCACCCGCCATCGAGTGTCAACATGGACGATGTTGCAGTGGAAACCATCCTGCAACACCAGGGCTACAAGGGTGATATACTCCAGAAATACAGACGTGAATAGCTAAGAAATCTGAAAGACGAAATGCTAGGCTGGTTCCACCTAGAAATGTCTTGAGAAAGTCAGAATTCAGAGGTCCAATATCACCAGATTGGCCCATGAGCCACCGCCTTCTGGGCATACGACTCTAGGCAAATTGAAAATTTTGAATTTTTAAATCAATACAAAGTCAGTGAATTAATTTCACCAGTACCCTAAACAAGATCATTTAGAGAAAGAAGATATGTGCAATATGAAATAGAATGCACAGGGCCTGGCGTGACCAGCCGATTGGTTGAACCGGGCCCATTCAACCACCCGTCTAGGTGAAGTAAGGGGCAAAGTGGTGTGTTGGGCAACAGGAACACCTGGTCCTGGTTCCAGTGCCCTCAACCACCAGCCTCCCGTCCTCCACCGACACAGGGGCGCAACCCACGGCAAACAGGTTGGTGGACCAAATATTCCCCCGGGTCCACAACGGGGGGTTGAAGGGCGCTTAGCGTTACCCAGCACCCACCACGAGGAGGTGGCCCTTCATGGGTGCCCCATTAATTTCAATTCAGATAACGGTGAAGACTATAATGAACTATTTTCTATTCATGAGCTCCATACTGCTCTTGAACAAGCTCACGATACTGCTACAGGGGCTGATAACATACATTATCAACTCCTGAAGCATTTACCAGAATCCTGTCTAGAAACGCTTTTAAATATTTTTGATGATATTTGGACATCAGGTAACTTTCCTCCCTCATGGCGTGACGCTATAGTAGTACCTATACCTAAACCTGGACGTGATCATACGGATCCGTCAAATTATAGACCTATTTCACTAACTAGCTGTGTTTGCAAAACCATGGAACGAATGATAAATAATCGACTTGTTTGGTACTTGGAAACCAATAACCTCATAACAGATATACAATGTGGTTTCCGTAAAAACAGAAGTACTGTCGATCACTTAGTGCGTTTGGAATCATTTATTAAAAACGCTCTTATTCATAAACAACACGCTGTGTCTATCTTTTTTGATCTTGAAAAGGCATATGACACTACCTGGAAATATGGCATTTTAAAAGATTTACATGGCTTCGGTTTGCGAGGCCGTTTGCCTCAATTTATAGCCAACTTTTTAAAGGACAGACAATTTAAAGTCCGCGTGGGATCTACCCTGTCTGATCATTACAATCAGGATCAGGGTGTTCCACAAGGCAGTATTTTGTCTGTCACACTATTTAGTATAAAGATAAATAGTTTATCAAAAGTTTTAAACGATTCCATAGATGGCTCGTTATTTGTGGATGATTTTAATATTTCTTGTCGTGGTAAAAATATGCATACCATTGAACGGCAAATGCAGATGTGTTTAAACAAAATAAATAAATGGTGTCTTGAAAACGGGTTTAAATTTTCTAAATCCAAAACTAATTGTATACATTTCTGCCGTAAATATAAACCGCATAAAGACCCTGAACTATCTCTAAATGGCACACCCATCAAAGTTGTGAAGGAGGCCAAGTTCTTAGGTCTTATTTTTGATTCGCATTTAACTTTTCTGCCACACATTAAGTCACTTAAAGCTAAATGCCTGAAGGCACTTGATCTGTTGAAAGTCGTTTCAAATTCTAAGTGGGGAGGGGACCAAACTACCCTCCTACACCTCTACAGATCTCTCATCCGTTCGAAACTTGATTACGGCTCATTGTATACGGTGGAGCCTGTAAAAGCAACCTTAAAATACTTGATTCTATCCATCACCAAGGTCTAAGACTTTGTCTTGGATCTTTTAGAACCTCTCCTATTGACAGTCTTTACGTCGAGGCTGATGAGCCATCTCTTAACCAACGCCGTATAAAATTATCCTTGCAGTATGTAACTAAACTATATTCTAACGAGTGAAATCCTGCATTTAATTGTGTTTTTAATCCTCTCTACGAGGATTTATACGACAAAAAGTCTTCTCTTGTTCCGCCTCTTGGGCACAGAATTAAACCATTCCTTTCTGCTGCCGGCATTGAGCTGGAAACTATAGCTCCTTCCCGTCTTCTTTCTTCTCCTTCTTGGCAACTGGTTAGGCCTGAAGTTGACCTTACTTTGACACAGTTTAAGAAATCTGAAACTAATGAATTACAATATAAACAAGAATATAATCCACTAAAAACTAAATATAATACACACAAATCCTTATTTACAGATGGGTCCAAGGACGGTGGCGCGGTGTCATGTGCCACGGTCATTGGATCCAGAACAATATCTTCTAGAATACCAGATAACAGCTCTATTTTTACAGCAGAAGCAAACGCCATATTAACGGCTCTTAAATATATTCAACGACATCCCAAACATAAACAATATATCATCTTTTCTGACTCTCTTTCTTGTCTTCAGGCTATTAAAAATCTTTCTTGTAAGCATCCACTTTTATTAGAAATTTGTTGGTTACCCAGCCACGTTGGCATTTCTGGGAACACAATGGCTGATCTTGTTGCTAACACCACTTCTTATTCCTTACTCTGATTACAAAGCTTGCATTGGAACTTATATTCGTGATCTGATGCAGAAGAAGTGGGACACTCAAGTAGGTATTAATAAACTACATGAAATAAAACCTTATATTGGTTACACTCACTTGGGTTGTCAGTCCAGATTTGAAGAGGTCATTATGCGACGATGTCGCATTGGCCATACCAGATATACTCACAACTACTTGTTGAAAGGTGAAGATCCTCCGTTTTGTATCCCTTGTGATGAGAAAGTCACAGTCAAGCATCTCCTGCTTGACTGTGTCGAATTCTCCATCATAAGGGATAAATATTTTAATATTAAAACTGTTAAGGATCTTTTTACCACTGTTCATGTTCATTTAATTCTTGGTTTTTTAAAAGAAATTGATTTGATCACTGATTTTTGATTAATATGCTCTGTAAGTAGATGTATTTTAATGATTGGTAGTTTAGATTGTTAACTTAGATTGTTAGTGGCTGTGCCCTCAAAGGGGTTGACGTAGCGTAACATTATTGTCCTCCTGAGGAGGGTACGTAAGTCCCAAAACATTTCAAGTAAATTTCAGCCTACCAGGTTTTTAATCGTAGTATTTTTGTCATTTTACTGTATGGCTAAATCTCAGTATAAACGCCAATGGCTGAAGGGATGGTGTAAATCCAGCTAGGGTCCATGCAGGTAGCAAAAGTAATGTAAGCCCCCATGGGCCTTAGTATGGTGATCTACCTTCAGTTGTTGGCGATCTATAGCCCATTTTTACATTGTATTGTCTTCTTTAATTGGAATATTTTAGCTTTGTTCGCTAGTTTTATATTGATATCTGTGATTATCTAGTATTTTTACTGTCCTTCGTCGGCAGGTTTTTATAATATCTGTATATATATTCTATTTAAATGTCAAATGTTCTCGTCACGATATGGCTGAAATATTGCCGATGTGACGTTAAATATTAACTCACTCACTCACTCACTTTTTAATAATGTCAGTTCTCATTTAATTATTGCATTTTTAAAAGAATTAGATTTGTTAAGTGATTTGTAAATAGATATATATTTTATTATTGGTAGTTTGAATTAGTGACTGAGATTGTTAGTGGTTGTACCCTCAAAGGGGGTTGAAGTATTGTAAAATTATTGTCCTCCTGAGAGGGTACGTAAGTCCCAAAACTTCCAAAGTTAAATTTTTGCGTACCCGATTTTTAAACGTAGTATATTTGTTCCTTTAACTTTCGGCTAAAGATGTCCTACAATCGCCAGCGGCTGAAGGGATGGTGTAAATCCAACTAGGGTCCATGAAGGTAGCAAAGGCACTGTAAGTCCCCATGGTCCCTAGTATGGTGATCTACCTTCAGTTGTTGGCGATCTATAGCCCATTTTTACATTGTATTGTCTTCTTTAATTGGAATGTTTTAGCTTTGTTCGCTAGTTTTATATTGATAGCTGTGATTATCTAGTATTTTTACTGTCCTTCGTTGACAGGGTTTTATATATTATATGTCTGTATTACAAATTTAGAACTAGTTTTAGTCACGATATGGCTGAAATATTGGCGATGTGACTTTAAATCTTAACTCACTCACACTCGTGCGAATGATAGATAAAGCAAAAATATTCCCCTTTTTTCTTCTTCTTAACATGTCTGTAGTGGGATGTGACCATGAAGAATTCGAATAAAGACTGGAATCCAAATTTCTTTGGAAATTAGAAGGAATGAGAGATGTTACTACAATTGACCATACTTGTTATTACAATTTGCCGCAGTTTATTGAATTTTACCACACTTGTTATATTATTTTGCCGCAGTTTTATTACAATTTACAATACCAAAAATATTCAGGTTTTTTTGTGGGTTTTTTAATGATAGTGGTAGGATGAAGTCGAACAAAGACTGGAATTCGACTTTCTTTGGAAATTAGACGGAATAAGAGATGCTATTGCAATTTACCTCACTTTCTATTATAATTTGCCGCAGTTTATTACAATTTACTGTACTTGTTTTTACAATTTGCCTTAGTGTTACAAGTTTTGGTTCCTGCCAAATCAGTACGATGTTTCCTTGCATAACAGGCAATGAAATGTATTTCCTTACAATTTACCGCAGTGGTTATTACAACTTACCGCAGTTTAGGTTGTTACATTTTGCCGCAGGTTTTATTACAATTTACCACATTGAAGTTATTACAATTTACCGCAGCGTTATTTCAATTTGCTGCAGTTTTTATTACAACTTACCGCAGTTTATTAAATTTTACTGCGTTATTACAATTTACGTCATAACAAGGATCTTCGCCTTTTAACATATATTCTTGTATAATTATACTTTTTATCACCAATCCGACATCGTCGCATTGTGTTACCGTTGTGTTACCAGAGATTTCCACATGGCTGGGTGACCAACAGAGGACGATGTCATATTGGCGTGTAGCAAGATCATTACATAATTCAATTATTTTTATTAAAAGTGGATGTTTGGAAGAGAGACTTTTAACAGACCGACGCCACCCTATATGTAGGGTGTTTTTTTAATATATGTAAGTGCCGTTAATATGTCGTTTGCTTCTGCTGTAAAATAGAGCTGTTATCCGGTATTCTTGGAGATATTGTTCTTGATCCAATGACAGTGGCACAAGCATCTGGACCACCATCCTTGGTCCCATCTGTAAATAAGGATTTGTATGTATTATATTTATATTTTAATTGATTAAATTCTTGTTTATATTGTAATTAATTAGTTTCTGACTTCTGAAATTTTGTCAGTGTTAGATCAACTTCTAACAAGATCTCTTTTTGTATAAATCCCCATAGAGTTGATTGAAGACACAGTTAAATGTAGGGTTACATTCGTTGTAATATAGTTTCTTAATTTATTGTAAAGATAATTTTAAACAGCGTCGTGTAAGAGATGGCTCATCTGCCTCGACGTAGAGACTGTCAACAGGAGAAGTTCTAAAAATCCAAGACAAAGTCATAGGCCAGTTGGCAGTGGTTAAAGTATGTACTACATTTTTGTAACAAGGATGTGTTCAGGTGTCCAGATGGTTATTAGCATACTTGCTTGTTTTTGTGATGAATAACGTTGGTTATTCTAGTGAATGTAATGCTGTAATCATTCTGTAAAGTGTAATCATTCTGAGTATGTAATACTCGCTGTATGTGGAATGATTAGTATATCAAATGTGCTGATATTTGTATAGTGTCCGGGACCAGTGCGGTCCTGTATCCCTGACCCGGTGTCAGGCCTGTGTGGACCAGTGTGGTCCTGTATCCTGTAAGGCGAAGTCACTTTGTGGACCAGTGCGGTCCTGTTTCCTGTAAGGCGAAGTCCCTGTGTGGACAGGTGCGGTCCTGTATCCCGTAACACCCTGACAATGTGTGGCTTGTGTGGCCTTTGTGGACCAGTGCGGTCCTGTATGGTGTATGGGGGAGTTCCTTTGTGACTGACCAGCAAGTACTCCGTCAGGATGTCCCAGCTCATCATGAGCTGAGCTTAACGCAACCCATGTCAAGTTGAACTATGTTTGTACACACAGAACTTGATGTGATGACCTGTACTCTGTAGAAGTATATCGATGCTCATATCTATGACATTCTTGTGGAAATGTATACATTGAGAAATGTACTATCTGTAACTTTGTGACAGAATATACAAACTGCATACTATTTATATATGGCACGCCCATCAAAGTTGCCAAGGAGTCCAAGTTCTCGGGTCTTATTTTCGATTCACATTTAACCTTCAAGTCACTTAAAGGTAAATGCATGAAGGCACTCGATGTATTAAAAGGTTGTTTCTAATTCCAGGTGGGGAGGGAATCAAACTACCCTTCTTCACTTATATTAATAATTCGTGCGGTCAAAACTTGATTACGGTTCCATCATATATGGTGGAGCCTGTAAAAGCAATCTCAACCTACTCGAATTTGAGGTACAGTGGGAGTGCATCACAGCCAAACCATTGTCGAAAGATTTAACCGCACCTTAGCTGAATTATCATTTGTACACCAAGACATTTAACCCAAGTGGTGTCAGCGATCAACAACTAAGTGACGTGACTCATCAACAAAAAAACCTGCTGATGCCATTAAAGTGAAATCCGTCACTCCCGAATCATCTGCACCACAACCACCAAGTGGGAAGAAAGAGAAGAAACCATCGGGTCACATCAGCATGAGGTATTTGTACTAACCCAGTGAACTCAAGGGAGGAAGTCAGCGATGCGCCACCGGCCCTGTGTGGTCCATGAAAACGTACCACAACGAACAGGTGAATATCAAAGATCATGAACGCTATTTGTATTACCTCAAGGACAGACCGGGCAGACGATCCGTTCAGGAGGAAATGCTCATCGTACCCCATGACAGTATTACTCCACCACTCACTATAAAAGATTTGAACCCCTAACCGATATAGATATCATGTGGAGATTGATTTAGAAACAGTTGTTCAAACGCGTCGGGGTGGACGGCAAAGGGCTCAAGATTTATTTAGCCCTACGCGGAGTTATTAGGCAAGGTCAATTCACGACCCTGTACAGTTGTTAAGATCTGGTGGGCACCCAAACGGTTACAACTTCTCATGGATACTTTAGTCTATTATAGCTTTGGGATGAGCGAGCACACTCACCTGTACTCTACCTACTCCTTAGCCTACTTCGATCAGTTTGTCAGACACCATTCATAACATAATCGCTAACTATTATGGCTACTCTTAAAAACAATACATAAAAAATATATAATTTAAAAAAAAAATTAAATAAATATGGGGGACATCCAACGATGGTCCACAACGAAAATTGACGTTTTTAAAACAATGCTTGCCCACAAATAACCCTATGAGGCCAGGTGAGCCAGAATCTCCATTACCTATACTACTTCTATTGTTTTCAGCAAGTATTCACATTTTTTTCTAAGTTTTGCCCGATTTTATGAGTAAACATGCTTTTCACTATATCCTACACAGCATAAAAACAAGGTTTCCAGTTTTCCGGAAACCTACCTGAAACTGGGTAATGTGAGAATCATGTTGGTTTCCGCTCATGGAAACTATGATTGTTGGTTTTCGTCTGTTTAATTTTGCTGGAAACTGCCGGAAACCAACAAGGTTAATTTCAGCGACTGGAAACTGCCGGAAACCAACAAAGTTAGTTTCCAGAAATTGAAACTTACAGTAAAGTATCATTGGTAGTTTCCATTGCATAAAGCAACTGGAAACCATCATTGATGCGAACTTGAATGAAACGAACATAGAGGAAATTACTTTGACTCAATATATACCAGTATATACAGCATATATCCAGAAACCTACATTAACCTACATTAAACTGTCTATGTATTACATGTATATAGGTTTCAGTATAGTGATCTCAGTGTTTCAGTACACCAGAATTCAAATAAAAGATATTGTCACATGAAACAAGATTAATTTCAGGAAAAGTTAGACCTAATTGAAAGAATATGGAAACTTAAGATTCTACTTTGTCTGCTTTACGTTTTCTTAGGTAAACTTACAGATACCTTAAAATTACTGAGGAACCGGTAAGGCTCCAATAGGTTTCAGTTACCCATTGGCTTTCCGTTTGTAATGTTTCTCAAAGTGATGCATACTAATACAACTAACTGGGAGTGGTTATGCACATTACACATAACTGTACTAAAAAAAATATTTTCGTAAATGTTCAATAAGGAAAATAATACAGGCCACAACACATTATACAGTAGACTTATAGAAATAAAATATATTTAAGTTTAACTTCATCTGCCAGTAGTGAATACTGTTAGGATTGAATGATGTCAATGAACGTTTTGACTTTTAGTTATAGCATTATCATTATTAATCCATTAATATATTTATAAGCACCTTGGAACCTCATAAATTTATAAAATGACTGTAATTTCTAGATATGTTATAGAGCACCTAAAATAAAAGGGAATCATATTTCAAGTGTGACTTAGTCTCGCCTAGAAGAACTTCACGGCGAAAATATTAAGGTGGAATGATTTTGTTGAATGCTACAAGAAAAATAAAAACAAAATACAGATATCAAACTTAAAAACAACTAACGTTATAACAAAACTAATGGCCTATTACCTTGTTCGAGAAATGTATCCATCAGTATCCACATAATGGAACGATATGCCATTCACCTGCAGCTGCCCAAAAACCTGCCCCATGTCACGTGACCGTGTTTCATTGGACACCAAAGATAATACACCTGACAATTTTTTACATAATGTCCACAATTCTTTTAAAAAATCAAATGTTGTCGGTTAATGCTCGAAGGAAGGTGGCTGTGTTTGCACGACAGAATGTGGGTGTATTCAGCGATCTTACCTGGAAGTAGACCTTTGTTATTACAGTGATGAAAATCCTTTGATGTTGGAGGGCTGACGGTGCATGTCATTTAAAGGTCACATGCAACGTAAAACACAACTTTGCAGATTCTGATACCTTTCGGTATGGACTTACCGAAACAAATCATCAAAAATGCAAATTCAACTTATAAAGTTGAACAATAACGCGATGAAAAAACCCGCGCGAAATCGTAGTTAAAACGATTCACTAATTTTCCCCCAGCGCTTGGGGGAATTGAAGTGGTCTCAACAGCTGGGCTGCGCTCATAGCACGTGCGCAGTGAAATAGGTTCGCGCAGCTTGGAAGCGGGTTGTCTGGTGAATACTCGGTGAAGGCTTTGGTGTGAGCTATTTTTCTAATGTTTTGTTGATATTTCACAGGCGCGAGCTTTTTATATGTTATTACAGTAGATTAACTGTTTATATAATTTCATTTGTCTATTTCACCACACGTTCTTCTTACTGAGACACTTTCTCAGTCCGATATTTAAAAGCAATGTCATTATTTAGCGTTGACAGAATTTCTAACTGTTATATAGATATGTCGTTGTCACAGACAAAACTCAATGTCTGTTTTGTTGACACCTATGTGCCTGCCTGCCTGTCTACTGATGACCATATTCAATACACAACTGCGATCACTGACCACATGCAATTTGAACTTAACACCTATCAGGCTATACACCATAAACAAAATGCATTGATTTATGGCTCGAGTTCGGTCTCTGTCACATTATGTAATTACACAGACAGGCAGGTGTGATACTTGTACACATGACATGTTATGATGTCTGTTGATTGCAAAATGTTATACACAAAAAATGAGCATGTATTTACAAAACCCAACATCTCTATATATACACACACAATGAGCCGTGAGAGCATCTGCAAATGAGTGA